TTCTCAGAATGTTCCCCGAGTCGGCAGACCAACGAAACTGGGAGATAGAGATCGACGAGTGCTGTCCAGAGAAATTCGGAAAACCCCACCCAACCGATGGCCCTCATCCGCGAGGAGTTTCAACAGGCATCCGGGAGTATTGTTTCAATGAATGCCATCCGTAAGGCAGCACATCTGCTTGGTTTTCATGGTCGTGCCACTGCCCATAAGCCTTTGATCACAAAGTCCAACCACGCTGCTTGGTTAATGTGGTGCAAAGCACATCGAAATTGGACCGTAGATCAGTGGAAACGAGATCTTTGGAGTGACGAATCAAGGTTCAGCCTTTACCGTTCGGATGGCAGGGTCTGGGTGTGGCGTCTACCTGGAGAACGTCTCCTGTCAGAATGCATTGTGCCAACAGTCAAGTTCGGCGGAGGAGGAATTATGGTCTGGGGGTGTTTCTCCTGGTATGAGCTGGGACCCTTGCTCCCCATTCATGGTAAGCTCAACTCCGATGCCTACTGCACTATTTTGGATGACAATGTGCTTCCTACGTTGTGGCAGTTTTACGGGTTGGACCCCCATTACTTTCAGGATGACAATGCCAGTTGTCATGTTTCGACGTTAACCAAGGCTTGGTATGGTGCCAATGGAGTTCATCGAATGTACTGGCCTGCCCAGAGTCCAGACCTGAACCCTATCGAAAACCTCTGGGAAGAGTTGCATTGCCGAATTCAGGGGTGCACTTCCCTGAATTCGGCAGGGAAGAAATCGGTGAAGGAACTTCTATGTCTTCTCCAAGCCGAGTGGAAGAAAATACCACTAGCTGTCATACAAAGACTTGTGGAAAGTATGCCCCGGAGGGTCCACGCTATAATTACCTCTCGTGGAGGCTCTACCAACTATTAATTTTGAATAGAGTTAGTTTTCCTTTTCTATCACAGGTGTCCAAATACTTATTGGTAGTCAGTGTATTATACCCGACATTGTGAGACATTTGAGACGAATGAGCGAGTCATTGAATGGATATTTTTCTACCAGAAATATTACCAAAACTCAGAGATGAATACTGGATCTATTTCTATTTGACTTAAATTTGATGGATGATAGTTATCTGAAAAATGATCAACTTTTTGAAATGCGAGCAAGTGGACTTGTTCAAATGGAATTCGAACAATTAGAATTGCAACAATTCTGGTGTTCACAGTTACAACGTTATCCAGAGTGTGCGAAAGGAACACTGCAGTTACTCTCACCCTTTGCTACCACCTACTTGTGCGAAATGGGATTTTCATTGCTTTTGCATATAAAAACTAAAGCGAGAAATCGCTTAAATGCAAGTGATGACTTACGCGTATGTCTTTCAAAAAAGGAACCTCGCTTCGCCAGAACAAACAACAACAGACTAGTCATTAATTAAAATAATATTGTTTTATATTTATATAAAATGTACAATGTTTTTCAATAAACAATAAGTTTCACAACAAAATGTATTTTTATAGACTAAAAAAATTAAAACACATTTTTCAATGGGGTGCGGGGATGTATTTTCAGATTCAATGGGGTGCGACTCGCTAGAAAGGTTAAGAAACACTGTAGTAGAGAACAGACTACATTATATAATCTTGTTAAGAACCCAGATGAATCTTTAGGAAATTACTTGACTTCTGAAAAAGTAAAATGGAACTTTTTGCCTCCTAGAGCTCCCAATTTTGGAGGACTTTGGGAGGCAGGAGTCAGATCATTTAAATACCACCTTAAACATATCATAGGGTAAACAAAACTTACGTATGAAGAATTTCTGACTGTGTTCAAATAGAAGGTATATTAAATTCTTAGGCCCATCACTCCATTACCGGCAGATGGCAATTGTATTGAAGCTCTAACTCTAGGTCATTTTTTTAATTTTTAGACCTATTACAGCAATTCCAGAACCAGAACTTCTAGAGAAGCCTGAGAATAGAATAAGCCACTGGCGAAAAATTACCAAAATTATCCAGGGTTTTTGGAAAAAGTGAAGTAATGACTGCTTAAATCACCTCCAACAAAGAAACAAGTGGCAGTTTCAAAAACATAATGTTAAAATTAATTCTGTAGTTTTGATAAAGGAGGATAATTTGCCCATTAAGAAATGGTTCCTTGGTCATATAGTAGAGGTTTTCCCTGGAACTAATGGCAATATAAGAGTAGTCACTGTTTGAACTTCAAATGGTCCCGTAACAAAATTATCTATTTTGGTGTAAACAGCTGAATTCTTGTGAACTTACAAATAGTGTAATACCTACATATATTTGTATTATTTAGCATGTATTTAGTATAATAAGTTGATTGTAATGTCATTATCATACATGTTTTATGCTATATTTCACAACCAATATTATGTATTTTTAAAGTATTTGTTCTTATAACTGAATTGATATTTTCTTGTATATTATTTGTTGAACGAAATCATTCAACGGAGAGCAGAATGCTGCTGCCTTTAACTGCAATTGCGCCAAACTTGGCGATCTTACAATTCAAACTGAATGCTGCCAACAAGGCGGGAAAATTGTAAGTTTGTTCGTCGGCAGACACCAAGTCGCATCGGTGTTAATTGTTGAGAACTTCGGTTCTAAGTAATGTATCACATATATTAGTTTTAATAAAACTACTAAAAAACATTATCGCCTCATACAGTCCACATTTCGACATAAACAGATGGTATAGAACTACAAGGTTGAACCCGTAATGAGGGGTAAGAATTTTGATGGTATAGAACGTTGAAATGCCAATCCACAATGAATAGGAAATTGGCAACCGAGGCAGATTAAATCTTCATTTTATTTCAGTAAATATCTTGCAGTCACAAACAACTTGGTGCATTATTTGTGCCTATTTCAAAATTTTACATTTTTGACAGCCTTGCAGTAAGAAAAGAGTAGCAAGCGGCAGTCCAGCTAGGCCAAAATGTAGAAAGCAAGTGAGCGTATTATGTTCAAGATGAAATCTTGATTCAAACTGAGGTAGTTTTAGTTCTCCATGCATATTAATTGGATAATTAATACTGCTGTAAAATTATTATTGGCTGTTTGAGTTTTGGTTCTACTTACATCATCAGAATTATGTTAAGAGTCATATGACATGGATTAATCTCGAAATGACATAGTGCAAAGAGAGATTACTATTTTTAGAATAGAGAATAGAAATTAATTTAAGCTGCTAATTTAAATGATAATTTATCTTTCACATATTCTTTATTTTTCTTACACACACTTATATATGTATATATACAGAGAGAGAAAGAGAGACAGAGCAACTTATATAAAAATTTCAGGTGACAACCATGTGAATTCAGAAAGATATCAGTGATATAGTAAGGCGCATTGCAGTAACTTTTTGGAACTAGCTGGATGACAATGGATTTTCCACAAACTGTCACTTTCTTAATTTAACTTTATTATTATTGTATCAAATACATTTTATGCTCCATTTACATAACATCAGACAGGATTTTGCTTATTTGCATAATTCTAGACTGGTTCATTTACATCTAAGAGTTGTCTGACAAATTAATCTAGTGATATTCGGCTATATAGTATTTTTTTTAATCTATCAATATTAAATCTATCATCTCTACAATTCCGAAGTCAATAAAATGTAGAAAAAATAAAAGAGCTAATGTAGAAAAAATAAAACAGAACTATTGGCAGAATAATAAAATATTACAGATTTAAATAACATTTGCAGTCAACAATGAATAGGTTTTTCATTTTCCAGATATGAAATAATAGGGTTGTAAGTATAGCCCAAAGTTCATCTGTAAGATTGTCTTAGATGTGGCCACGATGATGAACAAATTTCCAAAGTTGATCAAACATATCTATTTTGAAAAAGATTATCAACAGCACCTTTCTAAGCAGAAAATGAAATATCTCCATAACATCTATGTTGAATGGAAATGTATATAAGAATTTCAAATTTAAATATATATGTTCAAATGTTCTAAACCCAACAATTGTTCTGTAAAACGTATTGAGTTGGGGAGGAGGGACCAGTAACAGGAAATGAATTACGAAAAAAAAAAATGTTTTATGAAATAGTTCTAAAGTATTATTTTTCATGATTAATAGTTAATATAAAGATTGTTCTTACAATATTCATCAAGCTCTTAAAATTTAAATGTCAAAATGCATTTTTAAACCAGATATAACTTGTCCTTTTAAAGATTATAGTGAAGATGTTTAAAATTATTCCACTACAAAATTTTCTTGTTCATGTACAAATGCACTTCAATTTCATGGAGAATTCATTGCAGATGCATGTTACTATTCTCTACAATGAATGTTTTCTTCCATGAGTATAGAATCAAAAGAATATCATTAATGTGATTGAAAATGTTGTCTTGGCTAGCAGCTTCTACCAACATGTGGCAGAATATTCTTCATTTTGCAACTGATTTCACTAATTTTAAAATGCTATCCCTCAAAGAATTTTCAACAGGTGAACTAGAGAATACTTTTTGAGTCACTGGCATGGTCTATGAGAAATTTAGGAATAAAAATTCAAATGTTAACTGTAGCATTAATAGGTGATTTTTAAAAGATGGGCTTTAGTGATATAAAGACTTGTAGTCACACACACACACACACACACACACACACACAAAAGAAAAAAAAAAAAAAAACATGATTTCATCAATCTAAGTTATGGAAGTATCTCTCAAATAAAAATTTTCTGTGAGTTCTTGTTTTAAAAAAAATTCATTTTATTTGCTGTCAAATATAAACTATCAGCATAAATAAAAATAAATAATCATTGTGCCTCAGACTGCATAGTGTCATGACTACATTTATTTAATCTTTGCACTTGTAATACATAAGATTCCACAAACATACTCATGAGATCACATTTCTAACTAGTATAAAAGTATTTCCACTAATCAAATTATCAGAGGAAAAAATTCTTGTTTTTAGTAACATGTTTGCTTTAATAACACATTTTACTTAATAAAAATTAAATATAATAGTTTTATTACTTACCATTCTTCCAAGGATAACGGATCACAAATGTAAATGTGATGTTCGTAAATTTCATTTTGGAAGTTGGAAATATGTAAAGTATTTGAGGAATGTTTTCAATTCTGTCTAATAGATGATCATTGGATATATCTGATGAATTCTATAATATCCAAAAAAATTTAGTATATTTTAGTATTTGCTTAATTTATTTTATGAATGAATGAATCATTATAATACTGATATTTATCAAGCATTATAATCTAATATGTTAAAGTAAATTAAAATTAGGAAATAAAGCTGGCATAAAGTAAGAAAAATATAAATCTCTGTAACTGATTTTTGTTTACTGTAGTGTCATGTCTTTTTTTAGCAATCTAATATATTTTACATTATACTATAGCAATTAATCAATATAAAGTGCTAAAATGTTCAATTAATTAAATGTATTATACTTATTGAGTAATTTTAATTTAATATATGTAATGTAATTTATTTATATGCTAATTTGCAAAATTAACTGCAGATAAATTCTCCCAATAATGTAGCATATGTTGAATTGTTCTTTTATTTCAAATTATGATAATTCATTCATCAGAAACAGTAGAGTTTTGTTCAATGAAATCTTTCATTCTGTAATTCAGTTATCCATTCTGTCTCAAGAAGGGATAAAAAGTAATAAAAATGGGTTTTTACTGTTAATAATTAATAATTCATTACTAAGTAAATTTGAGATAAATAATTCATTAGTAAATAAGTTTAATGACACTTTTAACATCTTTTTTATTTTGCTTTCGTTTCATAATACTATTCAGTAAATTTATTCCAAATAATAAGTAATTTTGTTCCAAATTGTATGTTTTATGCTCTTACGATTGAAAAAGAAAGTGAAACAATTGGAACAAGCCCTAAAATAATAAAATTACTTGAAAACTGAAATTCACAGACTAAGATCTTTAAATTTTCAGTTAGATGAGTTTTTAAATTCTTTATAAAAAACAACAAATTGTATCAAAATCAGCATATATAGTATTATATTTTTTGAAGGGTAATTAGTAAGTACAAACCAAAGAAATATTCTTGAAAGTTTCTGTCATAATTTGCAGGAGCCAGCGATTAAATATGATAAACTTCATTTCAATTTCTTCTTCGCTCTATAAAATAAAATTAGTTTTCAATCAGCATCAGAAAGCTCAGCAGTTATTTGTTTAAAGAGTTATAATAGTCATAAGATACAGAATGATGTAAATGAACTGAGATAATTTCATGGGGGGAATATTTGCATGGTTCAAAATATTCAGTTTTGAGAATATTTCAACTCATATTTTTAAACTATATATTGCAAATTCTATGAAAGCAAAGTTAGAGGATACACACGAAAAACGCACTAAATAAAACGCGACCGTTTTCGCTTTCGTTGAGGTTTCCGTCTGAGTCTTTTCTTATGGGAAACATAGAGCTTTATTTCGGTTATTTTGTCGATAGCCTGGTTTTATTTTCCTGTGGAAGTACGTCATGTTGTTTAATTATATTATGCATATCTTGCTGCTGAATTCCAGTATATTTACTTGGTTTAGAAAATTTCTAATACAAGTTAAGAAGGAGTTGGTATATATTATTTTCTGGTTTTTTAATAATTCATGTTTGTGTTTTTGTAATTTCTAGGTTCATATTTGTAATTTCAAGCTTTTTCTAGTTTGTTATTTCTAATTCATGTTCGAAATTTCTAGTAAATCATGTTTGTATTGTATTCAGAGCCCATTTTAATTTAGTGGCGTTTTAATAATTCATACCGGGTATTAACAAAAGTTTCCAGCCACCGCAAATATCGTCTGTGCAAACAATTCATGTTGGCATGTTTAATCATATTTTGTAAAACTACTTTTGGCATTTGAAAGAATTAAAACAGTGTGTTGTGAAATTTGTAAAAAAAATATCGTTATCATTAAATACAAGGTGTCTGAGATGGAACTATCAAGCTGCCGGATAGAAATCATCATTTACTTCCAGCTCTGTTACAAAAAGTCAGTCACAGAATGCCACCAAAACATGCGTGTAGCTTTAAGTACTAATGTTGTATCATATGACATTGCGAAAGTTTGGTACTGATAGTTCAAAAACAAGGGCTATGACATTCAAGAAGCAGAGCACTCTGTCAGTAAGCCAGACAGAGTGCTCTGCTTCTTGAATGTCTTGTGATGAGGCCCGCCAGCAATAACTTGTGGAATAAGATCAGTGTGCAACCACTTGAGAGCTTGCTAAAGAGTTAGATGTTGGTGTTATACTGATTAATTTTGATATGCATCGCATAAACGTGACGTACAAGTTCAACCATTGGCTGCCGCATGAGCTGACTCGAGCAGATAAGGACAGACATGCGTGGGCCTGCACTAATCTGCTAGAATATCAACGCAACAACAAAATTCTGGACCCGATCGTTATTTGTGATAAAAAGTGGATTTACTTCAACAACACAGACTGAAAAGGGGGTTGGTCTGCGCCTGGTGAGTACGTTGACAGTGTCGCAAAGTGCAATTTGACTAACAAAAAGATCATGTTTTGTATATGGTGGAATTGCCGAGGTATTATCCACAAAGAGTGTCTCGAAAAAGGTAAAACCCTTGACAGTAAGACCCTTATCACTTCTATAGACGTGCGCGGCTAGGTGGGACATTTCTGAGAAATGAGATTCTAGTAGCACTGCTTTAAACGGGAGGCTTCTGAGAAATGTTTCGTCTAGCTAGGCGAAACATTTTGAAACTTTTCCAAAAATGTTCCGTCTGGAGACGTGTTTCATGTACATTCAACCAATCAGACGAAAGTGCTGCTTCTGAAGGATCATGGGTAATTTTCAATATGGCAATGGCCCTTGTTGTGAAATCATGGATGGTGGAAATAGATGCAGATTTAATAGGAAGAAATACGTGAAAAGCTATATACAGTCAAAAGTTGTTAATTCGGATACCCATAATCCAGAATGATCTATAATCCGGACCTCAAAGCCACAAACTTTCTGCGCATGCGTCGAGTTGACGCATGCGCATAGACGTTTATGCATGCGCGTAAGACCTTTACAGCTGCGAATATGCATGTGCGCATGCGCATAATACGTTTACGCATGTGTGTTTAATATATAATGGATGGTATAAGCTAAGCTAAAATTATCTAATTCAGTTAATGTTCCAGATTGCATTGTTCCTTAATCTTCGAATTGGATCCGGCTTACTATTTTTTGCAGACTGTTAGAGCAATTTTATAAAAGTAAGCTTGAACTTTCGATTATGTCAAATAGAATTTCCGATATATATTTACTAATATGTAAAGGATCTACAAAGCAAAAGTATGTTTCGAAATCCGAAATCTGTTTATCAATTCCATGATGCTCTGTGGCTGGGGGGGGGGAGTGAATTGGAAGTTGATCTGTCAGCACTATCCTTATCTTCAGGGCAGATGTTTTTATTTTATTTGGCTTATAACTCCTTACTAAATGTAGTATTTCATCTCGATGTACTGTCTTTGATATGATTTAAATCAAGTTCCTCGTCATTATAATTCGCTAGGACTTAAACAGCGGAACTTTGTAACTAAACAGGAAATTATATCTTTTTAATAGAATTAAAGAGAGAGTATTATCACATGAAACGAAACAACTTAAACAACGTACATTGAAAGAAATGTTTAATAAAGTAAACAAATAAATATTAAGCTTTTTCTTTTTGTAAATTTTGATACCCTTTAGATCATAATTGTTCTTTATTTCATAAATTATGGTTTCATATTTTTAATTTTGTAATTTCTGCATGCCATCTTACCAGATTTAAACTGAGGATCTATAATCCGGAAAAATCAATAATCCGTAATTGGCGAAGTCCCGACGAGTCCGGATTAACGACTTTTGACTGTATATATATATATTGTTGTTTTGTTGTAGTATCACTGTCTAAATCATTTTTAAATGTTTATATATTCATTAAATTTATAATCGTGGAAATTTCAGTATAGACAATATTTTATCATGTGCTCGGTGATGATGTGCTATTTCTGATGATTTGTTTACAAATTATTCATCGTCAAAAGTTCACCAAATTTATCATATTTTGGGCTGATCGTGTGAAAAGAATGTTATTGTTATATAATAGAATTTTTTTTATTAAGGGGAATAAATTTTAAAAATATGTTTGCATATGCATGACTTTATTTTCTTCTAATTACTTTTATTACTTTTAAATTGAATTTGCATAATCAGCGATTATGTATATTTATCAAAACATAAATTATTTAAAATTGAGGATACACATTACATAAATTTGTATGCTATTATCATGTTAATAATGAAATGCTTTTTAGATTATAAACACATTAAGAACTATCCTTTTATTATAGATGCTGCATATTGAAACATTGGAAATTTATGTATTTATTATGATTGATGAAAAACATTTGTATTTACATTCATTAATAAAAAGCTTATTCATTGCATTAATACTAATAAACATACATCAACAATTTCTAAACCGTCACACCTCTCTCCCTATGTTTATGTGTGTAAATATATATGTATGAATACAAAAATGAACATTGCTAAAAAAGTTTATTTGAAGTTACTTCTAATTCATATAACGATTATATAATTGTCAGCAACTGTAGTCATCAGTCCTTTGCACATTATCACGGATATGGAATACACAGTTGAAATATAATTGAAGTGCATTTTGTGGATTAGGCTAGTCATTAAAATTCACCCACTTACACACAACCTTTGCATTTGTAACTATACTTGGGATTTTAAGCAAAAAAATTGAGCAAGTAGCTTTTATGAATATTTAACATTTTGGGGATGAAATGAAAATTTTTGACTCATCACAAAACAAATATCAGTAAATGACATTATATCATGTACATAAAAATTATTAAATAAATATATGGATATAAAAATAACTATTTACAATAATAAAATCAAATATATACAACAAATCATTATAAAGAATAGGACTTCTCTTTGCATGTTTTTTCTCTATAGCTTTTAGAATCACTAGAGTTAAAATAAAAGTGATTTACCTAATAGTCATCACCTTTCTATTATTTTCCATAACTAACAATAAAGTTTAAAATGAAAAGAGTGTGAGCAATGCAAAATACAACACGAAAAAGCAATCATCACTCAAAAGAAAATGTCACTTTTGCCTATCTGAGCGATAACTGATTCTTGTTTGGCTTTCAGCCTGTTTACCAAGTGAAGATGGTAACCCGATTTAACGGAAGCATGATTCTCAGAATTGTTCCTCCAAACATTTTGTTCCGGTAACAAATATCTATGTGACAGGGTCTTAAGATATACAGCGAGATGCTAGTCTGTGTTGACGTTGCTATTAAGGAGAAACGTCGAACTGAGTTGTGGCGCAAAAAGATAATGATCCATCAAGACAACGCAAGACTCCATGTGTCTGCATTCACCGGCTGGACTCCTTACAAACTTGAATGGGATCTTCTGCCAGACCCACCATATAGCCCCGACATCGCTCCTTCAGAGTTCTACCTTTTTTCACATCTGCAGCTACATCTTGCTGGTACCATCTTCCATTCTGCACAGGATATCCGAAATTAGGTTGATCCGTTTTTGAACTTCCGGCTACCATGTTTCTGGGCTTTGACAAACTACCAAAACATTGGCAGAAAATCATAGATTTGAGTCTACCCACACTAAAGATACTATTTTCATTTTTTTTCCCTAACTTTATTAAGAACGTGTTTTGGCCATAAACTTTCGTTTCAACTAGATATAATTTGCAATTTCTAGTTTTATGTTTGAAATTTCAGTTTTTTCTAATTTATAATTTTTAATTCATGCTTGAAATTTCTAGTATTTTATATATGTATTGTATTCAGAAGGAAGTGTCGTATTCACAGAATCTTAAAGAATTTGTGTTACAAAAAACCATGGAGGCTTAACAAAGCGCATAGCCAACTCGTAACATTATTTGCATAAATTAAAAGAGATGTTTTTAGTTTAATAAATGTTTTGTTGGATTACGATTCTTAAGTGACAAACTTGAATAACAATATTAATAACATATTTTTAGGATCTGGACACTTAGATTCTGGTATAAAAATTATTTCAGCAAAGCGTATGTAATAAACTAAAAGAATGTTACACACAAGTAAATCATAAGAGAATGTCACTAAATGGCATGAAAGGGAGGAGGGGGGATCAATATTGAATTTATTGTTTAACCGAAATTCCAAATTTGAAATTAAATATCTCAGTCAAGATTTTATTGTGCGGGTGTTAAATATCGAGTGTATATAAGGAATAAACGAAATTTGGAGAAATACATTATGTACTGTCACATAAATTTATGTTATAATTACTGTATTATAAATTTTCAAAACTCTGGATGGAATTACAAATCATCTTATATTAGTTAGACGATAATTTATATATTAGTTACAGAAAATAGTATATCAAGTATTTATGCAAGCACATTTTATAAAAAAATCAAATTAATCCTTAAATCATTCAGGTATTCATTATGTTCAATAAGAAAGCAGAATTATTCACTGAATGCAAAAATAAAGTAATGAAGATAATAACTTACATAATCCTGGCGAGGAAGATAGATAACTGCAGTAATCATATTGTCGTTTTCTGTTTGACTAAGGTCTTCTATTTTAATCTGACTATAAAGTAACTGAAAAATGTTTTTCAACAAATTAGTAAATAAAAAAATTAAATGCATAAAATGCAATCATGCACATATATATTTATAATTTCATACATATTATGCGTATGATGTTTTTAACCCTCAAAACGCCTTTCCTTTAACTCGTCTCTTGCGCAGCCTGACATTAAAAAATGTATCATAAAATAATTTCTCATGTATTCTTTGCTTTTAAATTAAAGAAAGCAAATTTTGGTGTACTTCCAACAGTATGGCATTTAAATTATTTAATTACATTTCTTAGAAAATATTTTTAATAAGCTCAATGTGGAGGTCCAGCTAGCACTTTTGATACCCTAACCAAACAATGTATTTGGCACCCCATATAATTAAATATACTAATAACTTATAACTTTTTATTTAGTTATGGCCTTCAAATCGGCACCCTAACCGCTGCATATATTCCTTGTGCTTGGAGCAAACTGCCAACTATGCGATTAAAAGCAGCCAGACATTCTTGGAGAGTAGCAGATTTTCCCATTGATGCTAAAGCAAATACGAAAGGAAACTGTCATATTCGCAGACTATCTGTTGCTGCATTTATATATAGGCTGGTATTTTATTACCACCACTGCATCTAATATTTTTTTATTCAATATATCTTAATATTTGCATACACTTGGTAATTTGTCTCCTTTACTCTGCTTACCCTCTTCCCAGAAACTCAAGAATTATTGAGCATTTTCTCTTTTGTCGATTCACAACTCTCCTTTCTAGGTTTCCTTCTCAGGCTTTTTTCATTTAATTTTCCATGATGAATTACTTCATGCTGTGCAATAATAGCTTTTCAATGTACACAAGTTAGGTATAATGTATCCCAATAAACCCCCACAGACACAAAAGTAAACAATAAGATGCGAAAAAAATCGTTCTTGAAATTTCAGCAATGGTAAAGGTACCACATTCATCTGTGAACCGTATTATTACGAAAGCTTTAGGAATTACAACTTTTCAATTAGTGTCATGCGACTATGTTGTTTGACAAACAGGAGCTGTAAGAGGCGTGAAACAAAACTGTATGGAGTTATTCCACAGTGCTTCAGGATGTAACATCAACATAATGACAATTCATGGACAGTTGCAAAATTTGGGTGTTAACGGAAAACCAGTTGTACATTAGCGCAGCTAACCCAAAGCACACCTGGCAAAGCATTACCTAGTATGATGTAGAGCAAGATGTAACTGGAGTCTGGCATTTCAAAATTAATAAATGTAACTTAATAAATGTAACTAAATTAATAAATGTAACTAGTGTTTTGAAATTATATTGCACAGATTTGCTTGCATTCAATAATTCACCTGTTTTATTCTCAGATTTTTCACGATTCCAATGAAAAATTATTCTCATATCAAACACAATCTCAGAAATTCCTGACCCATGTTAACAAAGTAGCTCCTCAACCTTAAATTTCGCTTTTTTCAGGTTTAATTTTTTTTCGCCTCGTGCGTTTTATAAGAAAAGTATGCCAGAACTGATTCACCAATCCCCTGAAAAAAGGATAAAAGTAACACAGCCTGGAGAGAATACATTAAGTCTTTTGTTTATTTCTAGTAATTCTTTTGGATGAACGGATTATAGATATATCGCAGACAATAACACTCTGCAAACGACTTCCTGAGTGGAATCTGTAGGAATCTCACACACAAGGCCTTTTTAAATGTCTTTTTTAATTCTTTCAAAATTTTGCAGCGTTTTATAGACTTTGTATTGCAATAGAATTTTTACTTAAAGCTGATAAACCTAAGGTGACACAAAGGATAAAATTTTAAGAAATGTATATTCTACTTTGGCTGATATATGCTTACTGCTTAACACTACACAGAACAAACTGCAAGGAAGAGACATCCATTCATTATTTTGGGAACTTAATGCGGTTGCCCATTATTGAAAAGGGTTGTATTTCCTCGGAATATATACAGTTATATATAAAAGCAGATTTTAATATTCTCTTCCAAGACACTGGAAATTTGAATGTGCAAACAGAGTCGTAGTTAGGGTTTTCAGCGCCTAGGGACAACTGAAGATTTCGCGCCCCCTACTGCTTGCCAAGGATGGAAAACATTTAATTCTAAAATGTCGTAACATCAGTTTGGCGCCCCTTAGATTCTGCACCCGGGGACAGATGCCCCCCCTTGCCCCCCTCTAGCTATGACCCTGTGTGCAAACATAATATGCATACATTATGCATGTACACTACGTGAAAAAAAAAGGAGGGACAGTTCTATATTTTCCGTTCTACTGGGCCGATTGACAAGATTCAAATTGCATTTTTTATGTCTCGAAAGCTTGACTTGGGATATATATTAGATTTATATATAGCATTGTTCTAACATAGGTATTTTGACACAAAATCGTTCTTTTTGTGAAATAACACCATTTAGATAGTGATGGAAATGTTCTATGGCTTTGACTATGGCGAGCAATTCTTTCCTGGTGACATAGTAATTCCTCTCCAGTTTAGACAGGCACTTGCTCCAGTACGCCACTACACGTTCTTGGCCGTCTATTTCTTAGGACAAAACAGAAACCGACACTTTCATTGCTTGCGTCCGTGTCGAGAATAAATGGTCTGTCAAACTGAGGATACGTCAGGATCGGAGATGTTAAAGCATCCTTTAAGTTGTGATGTTTTGTGGGTATTTCAGTTGTCTGCTGTTAATATTAATAGTTTATTATTACATAATTGAAAATTTGACGCTTTTCTGAAAAAAAATTAGAACAATATGTCTTATTGCGTTTCACATGGCAAAGACAAAGTTATGTTTTTAACAAAAGAAGATCTCAGTGAACCTAGTTCTATTGTATTACCCGAAGATGATAAACCTAGAGGTTTACTGTTGCCAAATGGTGAAATAAATTGGGCTTATCCTTTTCTAGGAAATATGGCTGTTGGTCCATGTAGTGTTGAATTTCGAGAATCTTTAACTTGTTTCCATAACAGCACAGCAGCAGATCCTTTAAGTTGTAAATGCATCCTTGCATTCTTTTGTCCACAAGAACTTTTGCTTGCTCTCTGTCAGCTTGTGAAGGGGTCTTGCAATGGAAGAAAAGTCCTTCACGAATCTCCTAGAGTAGGTGCAAAGCCCTAGGAAGCTTCTCAGCTGATGGACATTTTCGGGACATTTCCAGGATTTAACGGCTGACACATTTTCAGGATCCATGCACACACCTTCTGCGGAGATGACATGTCCCAGGTAAATCACTTCTTGTCTGAATAATTTGCATTTAGCGGGACTTCAGATTGGTTTCCTTCAGTTTTTGAAGCACCTTTCTAAGATTTTCTAGAGTCTTTCCGACGATGATATCATCCAGGTATATCAGACACGACTCGTAGGAAAGACCTTTGAAAACAGTCTCCATTAGACGCTTGAATGTAGCTGGTGCATTGCAGGGTCCAAACGGCATCACCTTGAACTGCCAAAGTCCTTGTCCCGTCTTTTTTCGGTCATTAGGATGTATTTCTACCTGCCAATACCCACTCTTTAGATCAAGTGTTGAGAACCACTTGCATCCAGAAAGAGTGTCCAGAATGTTGTCAGTTCTAGGAAGAGGGTAACTGTCTTTCTTCGTAACCTCATTCAACCAGTGATAGTCAACGCAAAATCTTGTTGTGCCGTGTTTCTTTCTGACAAGAACGATGGGAGATGCCTATGGACTTGCTGAAGGCTCGATGACATTGCCTTCTTTCATATCCTTTAAAAGTGTTCATACCTCTTCCTGTTTCGATTCTATGTTGTGTCAAACTGGTTCGATCCACGTTAGAAGACGAGTGGGAGAAAACAGCTTGAAGATTTTTAATGACACGATCGGCAGCATTCCTCTCTTCATCGTTTAATTGCACATTCTGCAGTAACTCTGATGTAATACTTTCTGAAGAGATGGATTCTGGAGGGTTACTCTTTCGTTTAATACTGGTCACTGGAGTACATGCAGCAACCACTTCACCTTTCTTAATAACTCTTGTTCTCAGTTACTTTGGCCACTCTCACTAGGATAACCTTTTTCGATAGGTCGACGAGTGCTGAGGCTACTAGTACTCCTTTCAAGCTATTACAGTTATTAAGATCTTCTATGATGCCGTAGCGGAAATTTCTATTTTCGGCTATGGATCCAGGAAGTAGAAACTCTGTTCTTGTGGTCATCCTGAGCAAGAACGCGGTATTGTCTTATCGTCTTGAGCTATGATTTTGTGGATAGATTTAACTCCTTCATTCTTAATTCCAAATAGAGCTATGTCCTCAGATGCAGAATGTAATTCGTTATTTTTAAAGTCCAAGGAAAAATTGTATTTCCTTAGAAAGTCAAATCTGAGTATACAAGGATCTGTGTTCTCTGCTACATATGCCATGTGATGGTAAGTGGCACTGCCAAACGTGATGTTAATGTTTATTTTTCTGTTGATGTCGATCTTCTCACCGGACACAGTTTGCAGGGTAATGCAGGGTGGCGTCCAGATAAGTTTGCATCCCATTTGTTGAGGCAAATCTTTTTGGATGATGGTAACGTTGGCTCCTGTATCTATCGTCATATTGCAGGGAACTCCATTAATATGTCCTATTATGAAAAGTGAGTCCATTACTGCCGCCTCTCACTGCAGAAATCTGAAGTGCTTTAAACTGGGGCTTTTCATTATCTGGCAACCACCGCCCCGCTAAATGGCCACAAATTAGTTTCCCTGATGCTTGCTAGGAGTGGTCTTAACATTTGTGCCCAGTGGCGTTCTGCAGTTCCTTCATATGTGTCCTTCAGATCCACAGTTCCAACATTTTAAGGTTGATTTCTTGTCACTGATATTTCGTCTCAAGGCATTCAGTTGTCTGGTTATATATCATCTAGACGAATAGTGACTTGATCCCTTGGCTCTTGAACTTGAGCAGCTCTGATTGGGTGGCGGTCTCTACGAGTTGCTTGCTGGGCTGCTTCGAATTTCATGGCATACACTAGAGCGCTTTTTAATTAACATCCGCCATTCATAGAGCCTTCTGCATTTCGGGATCCCGGATGCTATCGATAAAGTACTGCAGGGACGTGATTTCCCTCATTTACACTAGAGCGCTTTTTAATTAACATCCGCCATTCGTAGAGCCTTCTGCATTTCGGGATCCCGGATGCTATCGATAAAGTACTGCAGACTCTGTAAAGGCAAGCTGAGACAGCCTTTCAACATCCGTGGCGAGTTCCTGGAGTGATTCGGTGGGCTTCTGTTGATGGGATTTTAATTGAAGCCTGCTTAATTTTTTTAAACATTTCTCGCCAAAGCGCAGGATAGAGTTTCAAAGTCAAGTCTTTGGTTTTCTGGAAGCGTCTAGAGGATATACGCTGCGTCTGCTCTCAGAGAAGCGGTGAGATGACAGGCCTTAGTCTGGGGATCAAATCCATTTGCATCCGCAACGATAGAAAAATTGTGTCATATACACTTGCCAGGAGGTCTTCCCATCATATGTAGATAGTTTCAGAGAGAGACGAGCAGGCATTGGTAAAAATTTAAAACCCTCCGAATTGCTCCCTACCATCGCCACGAATTTCTTTAAAGTATCCACTTCTTTGGCAACTCCAGAAACTCTGTCATCAATTTATTGTTGGACAGAAGAAACCTTTTCTTCAATTTCTCCAATTCTATTTTCAACCATGTCCATTCTATTTTCTATAGCCTCAAATTTGTTTTCTATCACACAGGTAATTTCTCTTTTCATTTCTTCTTGACCTGCTTCAATCTTTTCTTGACCAGCTTGAACGGCTTTCATTTCTTCCTTATGGATTTCATTTCATCTTTAACAGAATCTTTCTTTTTTTCCTCTTTCATTTCTTCTTTAAATGATGCTTGGCCAGCTTCCATCTTTTCTTGGAATGCAGCAAAAGCACTGATGAGCTGCCTCAATTGTTCTTCCATCGCTCTTGTAATTGGCATTCCAAAATTCCTCTTCTGTACGGCTTCATTTGAATTGAATGAACGTCTGATGAGAAATGGACAAAATTTATTATTATCACAACAAAAATGCTTAAATTTCCTCAGATATTCTTTCAGTATTACAATATCTCACAGTAGTTATTTTTTAACTACTCAAACATTCAACAGAATTAATTCAAAACAGCTAAGAAAGCTAATCCATGAATTTGCTATAATCATCAAGAGCAGTTTTCTAAACAAACTTTTAAAACAACAACAAACTAACTAATAACTGAATTGAGAGGTCTTCCTCCTTTTTACATGGTTTTAAATCGCGCGCAAGAATTTTCTCGAAATTAAATAAAAGAGAGATTTATTTATTAAATATTAAATGCACACGCTCTTGTATTTTTAGTTTTCTGGCTTAGCATGTATTTCCTTAAAGTCTATTTTTCAAGCAGGTATTTCACCGCATCAGGCTATATTCAAGGTAAATTTCGGTAAAATTATAAGGTATATTTTAATTTTATAAAAGTTTTCTTTGTTTCAAAGTCTCTTTTCTATATTTCTTGTTTCCACTTAAAACTCCCTACCAGAATGAGTTTTTAGAATCACGTTGAATGCAAATGAGTTAGAAGAAGTATTTTATGAAGATTCAACTTACTTTGTGAGAGAGAGATAGGAATCCTGAGTAGCGCATGTTTGCCTTCGGGGTTAAGTCCCTCTCGAAGCTGTTACGCTTGGCTGTATATTACGTGCCTTTGGATATTCGCTAGTTAGTTTAATTCAAAGGCCAACTACATTAGATACTTATGTTTAGCTTCGGCTAAGTCTCTTTTAGTTAGTTATAATTTAGTTCTTATTTCTTATTCTGAGTTTAAGTTCGAGAAAGGGGCTGACTTAATCTTATTTTGAGTGACTAAAACGGTATTTTAACCCTTCTCCAGTCTACATGTTTAGCTGTTTGAACTTAGCGATAAGTCACTACACAGTTCACTAGGTTCCTCGACGCTCATCTGAGAGAGAAAGGAATGAGGAACTCTACAAACTGATTGCCAAATAATGTTTTTGAAATGTTTTAGATTTCTTTATATATCTACATATTTTAATAAAAATCGTTTTAAAAACGTTTAAACGGCATCTGTGAGTCTTATTTTATAATGAATGAAACAAAGAATTAAGTTCATAAACGACCTTTCATAATTTTCTAAGAATAAATTACAGCCAGAATTAAGCTCTTAAATTATTTGTTACTTACCTCAATTATCCCTTTTGTTGACTGAAGCTCGGTTGATATTATGGAGGGCATTATGGTAACCGTAGAACTCACTGCATTGTTTTTCGTTCTAGTAGAGCTAAAATCAATGTGTTTGCCTTCTCTGTGAGTTTCAGCAGTTGTAGAGTATGTGATATCGTCAAATGTTTGCATTGGCTTAACAGTAGAGGAAGGAATTGTTCCATTAGATGAAGTTACAGCAGTTAAAACATTGCCCAAGCTTTTGCTTTCCTTGTAGATTTCAGTAGCAGTAGTAGTAGGAGTGCTAAATATCTTTATTGTTGTAGATGTATTTTCTCCAGTTTCTTCAGATACCGTATTCTTATCTGGAGCACAGGTAACCACTGCTGTAAACTCTGTGGAATTTTCAGATGGTTTTATTGTCTCTTCAAGTTCAATAGTATTTGAAGATGTTGAAAAATGGTGCTCAGAATTATCTGTTGCTGTAAAAATAATATTGTCTTCACCAGGTGTTTCATATCGTTCACTCCAATGACTTAAATCAAGCATTGTTGAGAAATGAGAGCTTTCTGTCGTCTGTAACGATTCACTATACTTTTCAGTATTCGAATCTGATTGCTGCTCGACATTTGTAGAAGAAAAAACATTTCCGTTTTCAGTTGTTACAAATATGTCATCCTTATGATCTGAAATGGAATCATAGATTGCTGATGAATCTGTTGAACCTACAGTTGTCTGTGCATTGAATTCTGTTGAGCTTATGCCTGAAGTTGAAGATGACAACGAATTCTGCTCAACTGTATTATCTGGTACACTTTCAGAAGTGAAAAAAGGCACATTCCTAAAAGTAATTAAAAAAGGAAGTGTAGTTGAGACGTTAATTGGAAGTTCTGTGTTTTCACCAGAACTGGTAGGAAAACTATCATGTAATGAATCTGCTGATGTAAAATTTTCTTGTAATATGACATTTATTGACTGCTCTTTAGAATCCTCAAGCTCTGGATTACTTGATTCTAGAAGTGTTACTGTAGATTTCAAATTTTGATAGGAAAGTTGATCATGACTGTTATATAAAGCTGCAGTGCTTATATTGGTGACAGATGATGAGTGATCTACAAAATCATCAGAGGACACATTTGCTAACATATTATTATTAGAGATATTAGCATTTTGAAAGTTAATGAGATTGTTATGAAACACATCATGTGAGCTGGAAGCTAAAGGTATGCTTGCTGGGTTAGTCATCGTATCTAGATACTCTTCACTTGTAGAGGATGTTCCAGTATAGGTTTCCAACCCAATACCAATGCTCGTAAAAATATCTTGAACAGTATCATAAGTTTCCATAATCTGTTTTGATGTTGTCACAATCCGATCTACAGTTAATGGACTAGTTTCAACAATTTCTGGAGTGGCTGTTGTAGAGGTTATTCTAGGTATTTTTTTATTCATTTCGGCAGTTACAGATCCATAAGATGTATCAGGTGTAGTAGGAGAAGTTTCTGTCACTGAAGTTTCAGTTTCATTTATCGGTTCACTATGCAATAAAGAGAGATAATTTGTGGCTTTTATTTCATTGTCTTTTACTTCAGGGTACAGTAAATCTTTAGTTGTAGTGAATGCAACATATGCGAGTTCTGGTTTGGGAGTCACAGCATCCATGGTGGTATTTTGAATTTTGTTTAGAAACAATGACGCATTCGTACTCCACGGTACTCGAGTGGATGAAATATTCTGCCCCAATTCACTAGCAGTTTCATAATATTTAACCTCATTTACAACTGATTCGTCTGGAATAGTGAATTTATTTTTTTCTGAAGTACTAAAAGACTGGACAGTTGTTAAATTATCTCCAAATGAAGTTCGGAAAATTAAAGAATCTGAAACATTTCTAGTGGAAGGAGTTGTTTCAAAAGATGTATCTGAACTGTTTAGATCAAGGAAAGCAAAGCTGTTAGCAATCTTAAAACTGTTGTCAACATTTCTTATTTCCGAATCTAGTTCATTATCATGAGACAAAATAGTTTCGTAATCAATGCCGGATGAGTTGTGCGATAATGATAAATTAGAGTTGGAAAAGTTCATTAATGCATTTGAATTAAAATCAAGAAGACTAGTGCTATTATAGTCATCGATCTCAGTGAGCTTCTTTCCATCCGAAACATTGTTGTGATGTTTAGAAGCCCACGTAATGGCAGTGAAAAGGTTTTGTTTACCTGTTGATGATGTTACAGAAGGAAAATTTGTACTTGGCCTACTACTGGAGCAATCATCCCAGTTTGTACATTCGGCTTCATCTGGAATGATGATTGAAACAGTTTCTGTAGTTACATTTGAACTCTGCGTATAATTATTTTGTTCTTGTCTAACAGTTTGTGCTACTGATTCAAAAAATGAATCATTGGAATTCTGAAGATACGATGAATTCGCCGTTGAAATATCTGCGACAGTATCTGGTGAACCATGAACGGAATAAAGCATTGAAACTGCAAAGATAAAAGTTAATGATATATAAATAGAAAATTTTATAAACAACCATAAAGCATAACAATTCAAAATGCAATTTCTATAATTTAATAAACAAATAAATGAATATTTATCATCGAATACTTTAAATTAAATGCAACAAAACAAACAAACAAAAACAACAAAAAGACCAAAAAAGCAATTGTTAAAACTACTAACATTTAGCAACAAGATTCGGCATAACATGCATAAATTTGTCAGTCTATAGTTTCAAAGATTAAACAGAACGTTTAAAACTATAAACATGCGAATTTCAGCAAGTTACGCCGATTCTTTTTGCTAATCCTAAGAAAAGCGCTCCCGCAGACCTACGTGCTCTAAACGCTTACACACGCATAGGACCTCGGGAATTTTCCCCGTTAAGCCATTTAAAATCATTCCTGCAGTTAAGTACCCTGAAATTACAGTTTATTATAACTGATAGTATATGAATATACTGTAATACATTTTTTGTTATATTAAAAAGAACTGTTGTGTACACTGCATGTCTTGTATGGAATATTTCGTTAGAGATATATTTCTCATTTAATTAATTCATTTCTCACTTCGCGGCAAGGCAAAAATACATAAAAACTTAAAATACCTTTATCAAAAATTGAAAAATATATAAAAATATAAAACACAAAATACAGTTAAAACAATTTTTAAAAAATTTACAATTAAAATTCAAGTTTCTAAGCAAAAACAAGCAATTTAGCTAGCGGGCAAGAAGGCACATTTTCCGGTGCACGAAATAGAAAGTTTACTTTTCTCCCAGTCAGCAAAAAGACCCTGAAGGTGCAGAAGCTGACTTAATTCACTATTCTGCTAAGTTTCAAATGTAAACAAATATGCAAGCTATGGTAAAACAATTAAACTTAGCCGCACCTAAACAACTTTTAAATTATTGATAATTCTACAACTATTATATGCACATTAACTAAAGGTATAAAAATCTTAACCGTAAAACAACACAATTCAATCATTTTTAAAGCAAAATATGCGCAATTTACGAACATATAAGAATAAAAAAAAACTGAGCTCACGGAGCCGAGTAACATAGTGGATGTATATATATATATGTTTGTATACTTTTGGTGCGGCCGTTTGCAACCAAAAAGGATGTGCACAATCACATATTATAGCAGTACTATACACAAAATTTAAAAGTCTGAAGCTAATCCTTTTTAAGTTATGCGAGATAAATACATACGTGCGTATGTACAGACGCCAAGAAAAAATCTCTTCTGAATTCATTATAAATCAGTTTTGAAATACGTTTTGGGAAAAAGAGTCCTTTATTCTGTCCTTACATACAGATGTCACACAAAAACATCATTTAATTGCATTCGATAGCAGTCAAAATGGATATTTTCGTTGAAATATGACACCCAAAAATTTTTGCGATTACAATACTTAATTTAAAAGAACTATATTTATATATATACATAATAATCGAAATAATTTTTATAATTTTTATAATTTATAAATTTTTTTATAATTTATATAATTTTTAGCAAGCTTGCTACAATATTTCTTCCTATTATATATATATATATGTTGTTGCAACATTGGTAATCGTTACTTTTAATTTTGAATGCAGACGCTAGCACACAAAAGTATCACAATCAGAAATTTTGAAATCGACAAGTAAATACTTTTATATTGAGCATTAGAAATAACTGCCGAAACTGGGCAAAGATGTTACCAAGCCCAAAGGCTACAGGCCAATAAGCCTCCTCCCAGGTTTGGGAAAACATTTTTAAAAAGTAATTTTGAACAGGACCGAACCTTATATGAGTACACTACCGCCGAAACAGTTCGGCTTTAGGAAAAAATTGTCCACAACAAAACAACTGGTCAGACTGTGTGAATTCATAGGGTCTGCGTTTCATAATAACCAAAGTGTCGCCTTTTTTCATGCTAGGCGTGGCGAAAGCTTTCGAACACGTTTGGCATGAGGGGCTCATACAAAAGGACATCAATCTTGACTATGACAGGGACCTGATTCTTTTGATGTACTCTTTTATCAAACACAGAAAATTCTTCGTAAATATTGGTAATGATAACTCTGATTCTAGACGCCTAAATGCAGGAATAGCACAAGGCTCGATTTTAGGGCCAATACTTTACTTATTTTACGTGTCGGACTTGGTTTGCACTGATCATAATGGATGCTATGTTGACAACACGGCTCTGGCCTTAAAGTCCAATATGATACCTGCTATAGAACAGTGGTGTACACAATGGCACATTCCCATTAACGGACAGAAGTCACAACTCATAGTAATGAAAAAGAAGCAATCAAGAATTCCACTCAATATGACCATACAAATCATCAACGATGACGTTCCAATTGTCAGAAAAGCTACCTATTTAGGGGTCACACTCAACACCAGGCAATTAACTGTCTTGTTCCTTTAATAGGTAGAACATCAAAACTGAATCTTACTCGAAAAAGGCACATCTACACGGCAAAAATATGCCCGATATTCACGTACGCCTCCCCTGCTTGAGCTACTCTGACAAAAAGGATTTAAAGAGACTGCGGGTTATCCAGAAAAAGTTCTTGCGACTTATTACCAACGCGCACTATTATGTTTCGAATGACACCCTGCATAGGGATTTAAAGATCGAAAATGTGGAGAAGTTCCTTCTCAAGACAAACAGTAACTTCTTTGATAAGGCACTCAACTGCCACCACCTTCAACTTTTCAATGTGTTTAATTAGTACCTGATTCTCCCCGATGATTGTAAGTTCCGACCACTCGCGGCTCACCTCGCCTGTGACTCAAATTTTCTTACGTAACTTGCACATTTCCTAGGCAACATTGCTGTACATATGTAAATAGTTTGCTTACTTTTGTATTTTATCTCATATTATTTCTTTTGTATTTATTTCAGGTTTTGTATTGTAATGTATCTTATTTTTATATTCTTATGTACCCTATCCTGATCAGATAATTTTGTCAAGTGTATATTGTGATTTTTCGACCCACTCTTGTGATATCCTGAATCACAAGCAGCAAAATACTCTAAATCCGAAACTCCTCCTACCGCGTCTTGTATATGCACTTTTATGCGCTCCAGCGGCATAATTATCATTGAGCCGGATACGTCGCGTGCCCACTGCGACACTCCAGCATAAGATGCATTGATTGAAATGTCTTGTCCTGAATGGCGGCGTTGATTTTTTAATGAGTGTGGAGTCCAATTTTCCGACCCCCTTCACAAAAGAGGTGAACATTTTTTGGTGGCAGGAAGAGGGATTAAGTGAAAATGCGGTGGTAATGATGTGTAGCATCAAATTTTGTGTGAAAAAATAGTGTGGTGATATGGGAATATGTGTTGCGCGGAAATCGAAAGTGAATATGATGGTTCCATTGTGTAGATTGTGGTGAGTAGTTATTTCGGTTTGTTGAAATAATGTTTAATGTTAAGTCATGGTTATTAGTGTTGTGTATTGAGGTGTTCCTACTTGATAATTTGAATCGATAATGTTTGTGTTGAGTTTGATGTGTTCGTTTTTGTGCTCATTGTGTTCTAAATGTCAATTCAGGGTTGTTGTACTTTTCTTTGAATTAAAATGAGTCTGAAGTCGCTTAAGTCATTAAAAAAAGACGAGTTGACGCTCGTGGCGGAGTAGTTGGGATTAGTAATTTCGAGCGGGGCGAAAATTGTTACTTTGAAAACTTTAATGGAAATTTTAGAAGTTTATGCAAATGATGCTGAATTTGTGCAAAATGTTATTGATAATATGCTAAAGGAAAAGAAAATACAAACTGAAAAACAAAAATCGGAAAACGAAATTAGATTAGAGTTTGAGAAAATAAAACTTTCTCAGTTAGAGGAAGAATTAGCTTTAGCTAACACTAAGAAAGACTTGCTACAAAATCCAAACGTCGAGATGGACAACTCAAATCGAAATATAGAAAATTTAATTAAAAGTGTAAAAACATTAACAATTTCTGTACCTACTTAAGCAGAATCCTTTAATCTGTTTTTCTAATTAATAGAAATGACCTTTTAGGACAAAACAAATACCTGGAGATTTAAAAGCAGAAATCTTATTAAATATTTTGGGAGAGAAGGTCACTAATTTAATGGTATATGTGAAGGAAGAAGATATTAATAATACGATAAAGTCCAGAATTTTAAAGGAATTTCAGCCAACCGCTCAAGAGTATTTAAATCATTTTCGTTCTACGCAAAAATTGTCATTTGAGAACTTTGTACTATTTGCATCAAGGTTAAGTGCAAATTTTGAATATTATTGTCAGTTGAGAAATGTAAAAGATATTAAATCGTTTTATGCGATCTTATGGTTTCGGATAAAATATTCAGGGAACTTGATCGTGAATTAAAGACCCATACAGCAGTTTGTGGTGTTGCCATGGAAACACCGTACGAAGTTTTGTGAGTTCTGCGCATGCGCACCTCTGATGAGCAGCGGATGGAGGAGAGAATGGCGTGCATGTAGCGGCAGTTCCTTTTTCTCATCCGAATGTTGTTATTGATGTGTTAAATAAAGTTTATATATTTTATACTTGCCTCACCATGAAACCTCTACAAGCTAAACAGGGCGAGACATGGTTCGAACCCCAAACTTTAGGTCGTGAATGCGATATTTATTTGTTATCAAAAGGTAAACAGAAACCAGAATCCCTTTTTGCAAAATCATTTACGGGTAACGATAATAAAAGAGGCTATGGAAATAATGTCAATAAACTTCGTAATAATAATTACAAAAATATTTCTAATGTATATGTATCTGGAGCAAAAGATCAAACATGTATTTTGTTTAAAACTAATCCAAACCACTCGATACAAAATTGTCCTAATTTTAAAAGGCTTTCAGTAAATGGGCGGGTTGAAATTATTAAGCAAAATAACCTTTGAAATGTTTCTCTTCGGAATGTAATGCGAAAAAGTGTAGAGCCGGAAATTGTTTCTGTGGGAAAGCTCATCATTCTATGTGATT